CCCACCCCATGTACTTGTGGATGGGAAACGGCACCGAAATGATTGTATCAATCATGCGTCTCTCGTGAGTTCTTTTACCTGATCCTTGCTGGCAGGAGAGTATTCGACTCTCATAGACTTCATCGTTCGGCCTTGTTAGGAGTTTAGCGTTGGTCTTATGGAAGACAGCTCACTGAACCTAGTTAGAGAGTTTACTGACTCAACTATCCAAACCGTACTCACGCAACCTCAGCGAAATGCGATCACCTTTGTCTCGTGAAATTCGGACATTCTGCGTAAGCTAAAAAAGGAGACAAACGTAGAAAGCCACTAAAACGTGAAATGAATCTATTCACAATCTATCCAGTCTAGTCACATGATCCCCCTATTTTGGTACACTGGCCCCTAATTAGTGGTTAACTGAAGCAAATACGTTGCTGAAGAAAAAAATTTGTTCCACTGGTTGTCATGACTTTCCTATAAAAAATTTCCCGTGCCCAGGGCCAAACTGTGAGTGTGACATCAGTTGGAGCTGATACCCACGTGACTACATGTGACTGACTGGTACTGGTGTGAAGGTGGACACTACTGATGAGGCATGCGAGTAATATGTTTCTCGGTTAGAGTTTTTTAATAAATAACTCCGCAGCGAAGGCCTTCTTCCCTTCACCCATAGGACTGATTCAAAAAGTTCTCTTTCTTGCTCATCAACATTACGCCAGAGCTGTTAGGTAATGACCTTGAGTTTCCCTCTTCCTTTAGCCAATGATTACCAGAATTTTCACTCAGTATGTTTTAGGTGTAAGAGGAGGTATCATCAACAGTCAGACAGCGCTCCATAAGTACACCTGAATTAACATGCCTCAGCAGACGAACGTCTTCAATACAGATTCACGTTGTTGTCTCGGCTCGATGGTGTACATCGACAAACGTAAAGTGAACACTCCTCGTTTAGTTACCGCACGACTCTTCTCGTGTTCAAGCAAGACATGCGTGGGTGGAGTGTCGGTAACATGTTCACCTCTCGGTCAGATGTCCTTAGGTCAACTCCCATCTGAGTGTACCTCAATTTTTCTACTGTACACTTCACCCACAGACAGCCTTTTGTGCGTTTTACCCAAACTGAACGAATACTAGGGGCGAATACCTCACCGAGTAATCTCGAAGTGCCACTGCCCACCCATATGAGGTTCCCAAGGTCGGACGTGAGACAATTCAGATGAAATTCATAAGAACTGCGGTTGATGCACTTTGTGAAATCTATTTGAAGCACCTCTTCTACATTTTGCCCTCTAGAAAGCACTTTAGCGTAGAGGACTCAGTCAAGGAACAGACAGGGGCCAATGCGAATCTGCGGGATCTGTAAAACGCAAGCTAGACTCTGTCTGAAAAGTACATTCACCGGTGTGAACCAAACCGTTCGTAACTGCGGTCTACTCCTTTCATAAGGTTGTTTTTGAATTTACGTTCGACTCACTGAGGTTAATCAATATTTCTGGATCTCATACTCAGTAGCACTGACGGGCAGAGTTCACTCTAGGTGGAAAAAATCTTTCTGACTACCAAGATGAACATAACTTACTACAACGACACAGTGAAAAATCGAAACTTGGATGTTGACCTTGTGCCTTGGACCGATAAGACATCTGGTACAGCGGACACCTTACAAAGTATCAGGAAGGGCAGATTCCTGAAGGGGAAGCAACTGCTGCACTAAAATCTCAACAGGAAAGCCGGCAAGCATCCCGGCCAGTCAATCATTCAAACAATTCAGCAAAACCTGATGAGTGTTCTTGCGAGTCACAGAAGCACGACCGAATGTGATCAGCGTTCAGGCTTTTCACAGAGGCACGATCAATGTTGGTGGGTGTTCACTAACGCCTATCAGACAGTCTGGATCAATGTGAGAAAGCCCCCTTTAAATAGCGTGGGGCCGTTGTAACTTTGCTCACACTCTCGCACTTGCTTGTTCGGAATATAGCTATTGTGTTCCCTTCCGTGAGTCTTTTCTCTCCGACACTATGCACTGGAGCGGGTGAGCAGCAGATACCACAGATTGACGAATCAGCAGATATAACACAAAGACCCGCTAATAGTACACCCACAGCGGTTGATGGAATAAATTCGTTGGTATATCCATTGTTCAAAGCTCAAATCGATGACCTTTTGTGAGTTTCTTCACTTCACCCAACGCCGATCTCAACAAATTGTTATTTTGATTCCAGAGTATAGAAAAAGTTCATCTTGTGTCTGGAAATCAGACGGGCCGACACACTCATGCCCTTGTGATCATCAATGAAGATGGTCGCGGGAAATAGGTATTTGCGGTTTGTTTATAACAGTAGATCAAACCTGTAGGCTTGGTCAGTGTCTCCACCGAAGCTATGGAAACGAAAATCATATGAGCTACCTGGCAGCAGCGGCTCTCATGGCCTCCAGCTGAATGCAAACAATGTCACGCTGCAAAAAGTTCAACGTCTTGTCCAGTGGGTGCTGTTTTCAGGGTCCTAGCAACAAACAGTGTCCTCTTCAAAAATAACCTAAATAAGTGAGGAAACTGGTCGGAGTACGAATTCCTGCAATGTTTCACTTCGAGTGTGAAATATGTTTTGTTCGATCGATAACAGCTCAAAATATCTTACGTGGCATGTGTAAACGACGTTCCAAGTCGAATGTCGTGATGCTCGAAGGAAAACTAAGCAACTCTGAGACTAATGAGGTATTCCTAACCGTTCAAGGTGTCCTCGAGAGAGCAGTCGGATTTTGAAATACTGCTGTATGAAGGTGGGCTACGGGTGTCTCCTCTGGAAAACTCACCGCCAAAGAATGCCAGACCTCAGCTAAACAGCACCACAAATTAGACTAAAAATGACCAACTTGTGAACCCCCTCAAAGGGCTTTCATTTATCAAGTTCGGCACTATTTTCGAATTTCTGGAAGTTCAATTATCCTTAGGTGCGCGAAATTTGGGAACTCAGTGGTTCTGCGAGTGTACTGTCGCATAGGACATTGCGTTAGCTCCCAAGAGTAGAACACTCCCTTTGAATGAGGTTATACCTTCATGAAAGTTGCCTTTTTTGGTCTTTACCCACTTTCTGGGGTCACAAACTAACGGAACAATCAAAGAGAACTGATTTTGTTGTAGTGCTCATTAGGGAACCAAAAATTTTAAGGGAGTTTTTAGCTCGCACAGGTGGAAGTGCCGTACTAATATGCCTCAAACATTTTACTGGTAATCGTATCGAAATACTACTGGAAAACAGGAAGTGGTTTCGTGTAAACAAATGGTGAAAATGAAGACACTCTATAGTGGAAAAACCGAGAAGGACCGTTGTTCCTTCATTACTGTGAATCCTCGGCAATGCAAGAATCTCTAGGGTACTCCAAACTTTCGACCTTCAAGTTATTGACTACACCGTCCAGCTACCAGCGGCTGATCAGCAGTAAAGTTCACTCACACCTGGACAGGATATATCACCTGGTCTTTCTCAACCACAGAACTCTTATCACGTATTTCCTAGAGTGACTACTTCTCATATGGAAGGTCCACTCGTCGTATGAATTATGCCTCTCTTAGGTAACGTTTTGATTCGTAGGCGTCATTGCTAATGATGAGAAAGTCCTCCAAGACAAACATCTTGAGTAGATCAGTGTAAACAGCCCCGATACAAAGCCCTACGTTCCTCCAGACACATCTAAGCAGGGCATGCACTTTTACCTAGAATTGGACCAAAAGAGCTCGCCATCTTGCTCTTGAACGACTCATGACAATGTATCTAACGTTTCAGTTATGTCGGATGATCGATCTGACACGTTATTTCAGTAGTGTTTGTCAACACTTCGAAACTGAACACCATAGATCGATCAGGAGTCTGGTCCTGTGTTCTCAGGACCGTCAAGGCGTAGTGGTGATTGGTCGGTCGATTTAGGTAACTGATGAGGTAAAAGAGACTTGTGCTTGCCCAGCTCGGTAGCTAATCAAAGTGACATCGTCAGCGCGGAGTTATCGTCAACCCCCCACACTGAAGTTGTCAGTTTATTTGATGATGAAACGTTTTCAGTCGATTTGCCAAGCCAAACGAAAATGCCACTCCCAAGTCATCGAAATGATGCATTCTCAGAAAAAAATCTCTCTCTGCAATAAACTTCTTGTTCTTTTTGTTCAAATATAAATGCACATTTGATGGACCGTAACTGGTGCACTCGGTTTTCGCTCACTCCTTGCCATGTGTTCGGCATTCGACAAATCACCGAGAGTTGTGGGTGCCCAGCAGTCTAAGTCGAAAACGAGGCGTTAATCTGAAACATACAGATGAAACAACTTGATACAAGATTGTACGGACAAAAATGAGGACAAAACCGACTTGGTCCACTGATGTAAACCACACGGTTTTGTTCAAAACAATACTCTGAGCGAACCGCCTCACAAACACAGCCACTTGCTAGATGGGACTGTCTTCAAACTGTGTTCAATCCTTGTCACGTGATCAGGTTTTTTTTCAACGTAAATCACACCGACTGAGGCTGATCACTATAATCTGTCCTCCGCTGAATTTGCTCACCATCATCAGCTCACTCATGACTGTGTTCAATCAAAAAATCTCGAATAGTGAGCTTAAATCACGTTCCACTTCTGTTTCAAACGATACATGGTTGTTTGTGGCGTCACGTGATTTGTCCACGGGACTCCGTTATGCAGGCACGCCTGCACACAAACTTTTTTGTGAATGTGATTTTGCTGACGAGTAGGTTCGTTGCGAATCGGACCCCTTGTTGGGATATTATTCTGATGGAGAGAAAATTCCAGTCACTCTCGGTGTCGGTTATCTTATTCAATGGAGTTTCAACTGTTTTTTATGGTTAGTGAAGCTGCATCGCCTTAACTCAGCACAGTAGAGACAGCCGAGGAGACAGTATCCTCCCACGTGGCTCGAAAGTTGCCTATCCTGGTTTTTAATACCATCTAATGTGAAACGTTGCCTGAAAACAATCATACTTCACTGCTCTTGTCTTGATTGTAGAATTATCGATCAACCACCACCAGCGTACAAAGATTTTGCAAAATATCCACTGGCCGCAGAAATGGAGGATAAACCGAGCATGATGCAGACGACAGGGTCGGGATGGTATCCGACCATCACACAGGTACAACGCACTGCAAATTCGTCAGACCCACGTCCCTCGACTTGGATGGAACCTTTTCCCAAACCACCCGGGGAGCCCCCACCCGTACCGCAGAACTGGTTCTTCACGAGGCTGGCATCCATACGACGATCTTTGATGGCCCATTTCTCACCAAGTAGAATGGCATCCACGGTTCTTCGTGACACGACACCAACCGAGTCAGTTTCCAACCTGCCAGCAAACGCGGTCGTCTCTCGTGAGCTCATTGAAAACAGCCAGCAACGAGGAATGACTGCGGTTCAAACAAATGCCCCGTACTCGTCCCTAACGGAAGCGCCAAACCGTTTAAGCTCACCTGTCCGGCCCAATAACGACAGAAACACGCCTTTTGTAAGAACTGTTCAGCTGCCACGAGAGTCCTATCCGACACGGGCGCGAGTCAACCTCACCCATAGCGTGAGTTGAATTAATCCCTAGCGTAAATCAGTATAATATACAATGTGTACTATATAGTATTGGAGTGCACTGCACACCTCCAAGCTTTGGTCAGCCATTACATTTCAAAGGGGTGACGCTCTCTTATCTTCGGGCTTATGTCGATGTCAACAGCTTGAACGTGGTATCAGACTGAAATGCGTTTTCCCAATTACTCGCATACATCCAGTGTTTCAGGTGATGCCCGTGTGTCATACAAGTCGCATTCATGATTTACTAGCTCCAAAAAACTGCGGTTTTTTCATAAAACTGTGCTGAGCACAAACGAATGCATCAAGCAATCAGTCATCAACTTTGTAAGGTTTAAGAGGACAAACAAAAACGATGAGTAGCCCCACAAAAAATTAACTTATCGGGGCCATATGGCAACAAGTGTCCACAGTCTGCGGCTTCCGATAGAACAGAAAACTTCAAGAAGCTTTTGCCCAAAGTCCAGAAATATCGAAGTTCTCTAGAAAACGTTTATATTCAACTACCCCATTCACTTCCCACGGCATTCTAATTGGACCGCGGCAGTTCCAAGGTAAACGGTCCGTTACAATGTGCCGCGATATAAGTCCTAGCAAGACCATAGCAACTCTAAACCTTGTGATACATCAGAAAAATTGGTGTTGTAAGCTGAATCATCGGATAGTTTGACATGACTTCGTCGCTTAGTGTTTTCGCGATGATATTTCTGAAGTGATTCGCTTCCTGTGACCCATTCGATGGCTTTACATTGGGTCCCTTAGTCCTCACTCCAAAGAAGCCATATATTCTCTTCTAAAAATCCACGACAATTTTGTAAATCTAGCCTTCTAAAAAACATTAGTGATAGACCACCCCCAACCCCTTGCGTGCTTTTAGTTAATTCCTGATCATGATGACTCAGCACCTAGTTACTTGGTTACACTTGCTTGAATTAGGCATCGTTGTTTCTCAATCGTGTCCACTGTGATAACAGGGATGAACTGACACTACTGGGATTCTTGTGGGTCATCAACCCTTATGGTTCCGTTCTTGATCGTTTTCTTCAGCACCCGGTTTGATTCCTACATTGAACTCTTCAGCTTTTCATTAATTCATCGAAGGACGCGACAAATACACTCATTTGCACATGAGTTTGGTTTTCACGGGTGACTCAACTGAATATCTCGTTTATGATATCCTTCAAATGAATTATTTTCATTTAACCACGTACTACTTTTGAGTGTGGTATCCACAAAAAAAACCAGAGGGGAAGCCCCAGCCACATTTCAAAATAGTTTGGAATGGAATCTCTCGTTTACAACTGAATTTGTTGCATACACGAGAGATTAAGTTAAATCTCTCGCGCATTTGTCGAAATCTGTTCAATTTTCATTCGATTTCTGTCGTTCCCGAACCTCTTCTCGTTTATGCTACGAGCGCTTGCTTCGGTAGTGTTTGTCGCTTGTCTCCAAGCTACTTATGTTTTTTTAAGTAGTAAAGTGTTTGATCAGTGCTGACAATCCGCCAAGGGGCTTTACAATAGCGTTCCGGATGAAACTGCATCCATCAGAAAACGGTGAGATATGGAGAAAAATGGAAACTAGGTTAAACAGGTAGTGGGAGAAAAGTACTTCACTTATCATTACTCTCCCCAATATGAGGGTGCGCTCCACCATTTGGCCTCATAATGAACAACGAGGTCTCTAGTCGCCTGAATCATTCACCTTGATTTTTCCTGATCTTTCTGCACACGGGCGTGCTCTCGACTCCACGATTTGTAGTTTGCATCCATAAATGAACCCCTCATGATATCCATTTGCTAATAAAGCAACATTTTGGCATTTTGTTCCCGAACCCGATTGCCTAATCGTCGCAATTGGTCTACCGACAGTGCAGTTCCTTAAGAGTCTCAGTTAATTCAAATTTAACCTTTTTGGACTATACTGTGATGGGTAGCAATACTCGCTTGCAACATTTTTCCCATTGCTGTTTTCACTGCACTGAACAGACGAATGGACGCGCTGGGAGAAAGCACTTAGCATTCCTCGGCTGAGCCATTAGTTCTGTTTTGGCTCCACTCTAGTAGAAACAATTTACCTCTAAAGCAGTTCTCGCTCTTGCATTCATCTTCAATTTACCTAGTGGCTGTTTTGAGAAATAATAGTTTACCAGACCAGTTTTCTGCACCAGTTCTTAAGGCCATACCGTACGTTTGGATTCTGTTGATGCTCAATTCAAAGACAGCTCTCGTTTTCGGAGCATTTTTAACTCCTTCGTGGAGGGACTTTGTTATCAATATTGGCAGTATGAGCCCCATGTGCGTAGTGCGTAAACCTGCACTCAATCGTTCAGTTTGAAGGCTATGAATTGATACCGTCAAAATCTATGGAGTGCGATTACTCGGACCAATCGTTTCTTGTTCATGTTCATCAGTCCATTTATTTTTCGAGGGTCATCTGATGACTGAGAGCGATAAATCGATATTTCTGATGAAGTTCACCACATATTTGTTGTACTAAAACATTTGGCGAGTGATGCACTACTCATAAGGTTTCTGAAAATTCGTCAACAACCCATGACCAGGTTCGCCCTTCTTGGGGCTTATCAGGTTGGCGCAGTCCCCGAGCTTTTGTCAAACTTATGTTCTACTTGGAAACATCACAAAAGAGAGATTCAGTTGGGCTCCAGGTGAGTCCCTCGCAGAACCAAGTTTGTTTGCAAATGAGCGTACTTTGCTAATTCGGCAAGTAACTTTGACCTCCAAACAACCTGGAGACGCACCGATTTTGCTCCAATCTGTTATGAGCTTTTGACAAACTAGCTGTAAGTAACCAAGTCCAAATAAACCGCAGTTTTCACGAAAAGTGAAAAGGTAATTTATCCTTGAATGTTCAAGTTATTCTCAATCTGAAGACAAACGTTCTAACGTGCTGAAGTGACCTGGGTTTCCTAACCTCTGGAAGCACCCTTCCTCTCATTTATTTTGAGGAGACAGAGCGGTGATCAACATGATTATTTGTGTGGTCACCTGAGGACCCTTAGTAAGATAGTACAAAGCAAGAACATTTTGAACCACTTGCAGCTCTTGTTTGACTTTTCTGCACTGAATTTGAAACTTTTTTGCACGGATATGTTGAATGTTATCTTCTTCATACAAGTGACCATCATCAAGAGAAAAACCCATAGCTTGGTTGAATCGATTTGGGAACAAAGGTTACCGTAGCATAGCCGGAAAATGTATGCATGCAAATTCTCCTACATTTACTATAGATTTCTTTGAAAGGTTGCCAGCCGTAAACGCACAACTCTTAAGCAGTTCTGCATGTAAACTCATCCGATTCGTAGGCACTGCGGCAATGAGAACCAGTTAGCACCGGTGCAGAAATTTCGGCAGCATATCTGCATCCGGTTGTGGCCATTTCCGCACAGTGTCCGCAGATTTCTGCAGCCGGGTCCCCAAATCAGCGCGGGAATAAAACAAGTTCCCGCACCCGGGTGCGGAAATGGTGCACTAAAACAAAACCACTTAAATTAGTCGGTAGTTTACATTCCGTAGGGACCCGGAAATGCAAAGTATTGTGGTTTTTTATTACTGTGAGACAAATAAAGAAGCCTTGATGCCTCTTAAATGTCTCAATCTCCCGCTGCTTAAAACCCGAACATTAGTGGAGAAGTTCTGCACAGATTCCGCGCAGGTTCTGCACCCAAGTGCGGATGCGTGCTAACCTGCAGGTTTGGCCACCTTCTACAGCCGTATCAGTCTCTTGGTCTCTGCTCTGGGGTTGATCCTTGATATCTGCCTGTTTCATACCTTAGCAGACAACCTTGATCATGGCTACTGAAGCATTCTCGACGTCAACGACTTGTGCGCCAATTACGTCGGTATTGGATACCACAGGATAGGTGTTGTTTTGCATGCGAGGAAACAGAACCTAAACAACTGGGTCGTGTACTTATATGCGTAAATTTGAAACCATTGGGGAATTCTCAATTTAACACGTAAAATCAAACTCATTCCTGGAGAGAATGCAACACGGTTTATTTTCATTTATCTATGTGCTGCTTTTGAGTGTGTTATCCACAAAGAGAACTGGCGGTAAGGGCTCAGCGACAGTGACGGAAGTTGAAGAAAATTCAGCCACATTTCGAAATAGTTTGCCATTTTTAGGTACCCAACGTAGTTTGCGGTGGACGCTGTCAGGTCTTCGGGAGGGAGTGTCATGTCGCTCAAACTAACGCAGCACTATTTACCGGAAGCTTCGACTCAATGTGTTGTAATTGCCATTCAAGATAGTACCCCTCAGAAGTGACCTCTTTGTCTTCTTTCGTGGTGGTCACTGCATGAGAAGACAAGTTTATGAATAAGGAAACTCCGGGTTAGTACTTCCAAAAATGACCTGCAGACCAAAACAATACAATTACATAATAACAATGCTATGATAAACTCAAAAATAGTATTGTGTTTCGGTGAAAATACTTCTAAGTACAGCCAAATGCCTGATATTTTAAAGTTATTTATTCGAGTTCGTTAACATTTCTTGCAAAAAAGCACAAGACTGTTATTCGTGAGAGTTCACCACTTCTAGGCTGGAACACGTGAGGCTGTATTCATTTGTAGAGTCCTGATAGCGGATGATACTACTCAAATCCTGTTATCCCAATTCTAGTGTGATCTATTGATAATCACTTTCTCCTAAGTGAATCACCTCTTGTCCCCTTTCTTTTCTTAGCGTTCCTGTGAAGACATGGGTTCAGCAAGGGAACCCATCGAGGGAGCGGACCGTCAGACAATGTCTCCTTGAATGCGATACTATGCTGGGTCGAGCCAGCACAATGTTTACCAGAATCTGGTAAACAATTTTACCCCTGAAATCCCATTCTGATAGCTATGCACCCTTCCTTATACGCATTTATGGCACACGGTGCAAACGCACATGGACCAAATGTTCAAACTCCATGACGCAAACAGGAGTGCCTTTTGCCAAGCCGTCCAATTCTCCCGGTTATTTCATTCACAACTCGTTAGCGTGCTCTGCAAACTCTGTCAGAATCCATCCTAGCATTGTACTGTCACAGATTATTTTTAACTGAGAACTCACCGATGGACTTGTATCTCGAAATGAGCACAACCATTTTTCTATATGGTAAGTCTTTCAGTGCTTTAAGAAGATCAAAGAGCTCCACCTGAGCATTTTGTTCGCCAAATAAAATTTGAAAAAAACGATGAGTACATGGTTTTGGTTTGACGGGTTGCTGGAATAACGAGATCCGTTGTGTGTGTGTGTGGGGGGGGGGCGTGGGATATGTATGTTGTTCATATTCACACCACTCTCGTTTGAACGGTCGTCCTCCTGTGCTAGCGTAATCATTCTGGTGAGTCCATACCAAAGGGAGGCACCGGTCTCGAGTTTTGCTCTTATTGAAGCTCATCAGCAGTGCGTATCCGATGGCCGTGCCGGTATTTGAATCCCTGACATCTGACATGCGAGGCGAACATGTTACAACTACCCCACCAGAGCACGTTGGACGCATCTTCATTTTCCCGTCTGAACAGACGAACGTATTTACGCCCGAGCGATATGATTGGTGCGCCCGAATCATCATCCAAAACGGCGACCCAGTGACTGCTCTGGTCGTGACGATCGATTGACCCACCAATCAGAAAATTCCCATTCAGGCAGCACCACTGGCGCTTGAAACCCAATGGGCAACGTTTTATTTTCACTTGTGAGATTTTGCGGGTTATGTATTTTCTTTCATTTGTATTGTCCCCTTCGTGTTTTATTCCCTTTGGCGTGGACCAAAAATTGTAACGCTAACTGGCTGGGAAGTCCTAACTGGTGAGTCATCGATCGTCACAACCAGGACAATTATTGGGTCGTCATTTTGATGATGAATTGGGCGGAACAACGATACCACTCAAGCGTAAACACGTTCACCTGTTCAGACGTGAAATTCCAGATGCATCCAACGTGCGTTGGTGGAGTAGTGGTAACACACCCGCCTCACACGTCAGATGTCCGGAGTTCAAAACTCGACACGGCTTTCGGATTTGCACTGCTGATGAGCTCTAATAAGAGCGAAACTCGAGTCCGGTGCTCCCCTTTGGTGTGAGCTCACCAGAATAATTACGCCAGAACCGGTGGACCACAGTCCAAATGAGAGAAGTGTAAATATGAACAATAACGAAACCACGTGCTTTTCAAAAGCCAGCCGACAACGGTGCTCATTGTGGCTGGCTTCATTTCACGACCCCCGCATATGAAGTAAAGGCATCTGCTGACTCTGGATCAAGGTAGAACGTTTGCTTTTTGAAGCCTCTTGCTCTGTCATAACTCGCTTACCAGCCATTGTCCGTAACATGCAAATCTGGGGCATATTTTGTTACCCTTGACTTCAGAAGAAAATTGCAAGTGTCCTTGTCATAGTTCTCGTTGTTCGCTTGAAAATGACCCGAACCATTGCACTGAGAGACTTGTCTATTTGTGTACTCCACAAAAAGGCTGGTATTTGTATTATATCTAACAAATCACAAGGCTCCTGAGAATCCTTTGACAAGCCACCATCGGGTTCCCCTGATTTAAAGCCCATCAGTTTGGTAAGGTTCTTCAGTTTTTCGTGAAACTCACGGTCTACTTTAAACGAAATCGGGCTCATGTTGTTGTTGGATACATTTGTAGTGGTTAACGGTCCTATAGAGTCTCTAGTGAACAGAGCGAATTACTAATGTAAGCCAGATACAAAGTTACAAGGAGAAAAATCCAAGTAAATCTTGACTCACAGTTCAAAATAGGAGATTTCGTAGTTCCGTATTCCGCTGAACCACCACACCAAGAATAGTTCAATCTTCCTGGTATTCCAGATCTCCGGTGATTGAAATATTAATCCACAAGTGTGAATATACTAGTCCAGAGTTTGCAGCTGAAATGTTTGCTCACGTTTTGTGTTGGTAGCAGTCAACTATAGCCAACCGGTCAAAACAACAGTCACTCAGCAAGAGTCTCAAAGTCACGTTGGAGCCAACAAGCGTGCGGTAGCGGTTGTATTTCAGTCAAACAAACTTTTGTACAGCGATGTGACTGATAATGATGGGGAAAAAGAAGATGATACTGAGCATGAAAAAGAGCAGTTTACAAGTGCTACACATTCATTTGCACACAAGTTTCACCTAGGCCTAGAGTGAGCCAGTGGAATGATTTCAGCAAGCTTAATCCAATCCTATCTCAGGAAAACGTGCTGAGTTATCCCGAATATCGTGCCAACAGAATCGAAAGACGCATTTTTGTGCGACACATTTAGTTGCAGTACACCATAGACGTCGATTGAGTTATAAATCAGCTGGGTTAAATGCCAAATCGGTCATACGATAAGTCGAAGGAACTGAGAAATATAAGCAACTTCGGCAGGGACACAGCCGGAAGCTTTTACCAGTATCAGAAGCTCCACGTTAGTGTTTGGCAGATGCACAACATTCAATGTCTCCAAAATCAGAGGACGCTTAATCTCAGCCGAAAATGCGGGAATATGGAGCACAGTGTCAGGCTAAACAGGAAACCGAGATGATCACAGTTTCAGCAGCACAGAACATTTTCCGACCGAAAACTCCTACTGATGGCCACTCTTATGAGGCACAAAGTTCAGTTTCTCATTCCGGTGAAGCAGCAGGCTTTCAGAAATGAAGCAAACAGATGTAGGCTAGCGTCCTTTACTGATTCGGCTTTCTCCGACATCTCAGATGCAGGCAGTGCTACTCCGTCATTCCAGCAGTGTTCGACCGAGAGTTAGTAAATGGCTTTGCTCTACACTTCAATGCAGCCCTAACACGCAGCGCTACCCACCAGGTCCAATTTATGAACGATTTTAATTAATCCAGCCACCTATAAAGACCGTTTGGAAGAAGCCATTATGATCGTTGGCTTGTTCGCTGGGCTGGGAAATTCTACCCCACCAATCGAGGTGACATCATCAGTGAGGTATTGAGGAGCGTGGTGGTGCGTAGCGTAGTGGTTGTGCACAAACATTAACCCACCGCTACGTACCACTACGCTCCCCAATAACTCACTGATGATATATATATACATATATACATATCCTCGCACTTCCATGAGGAAGACGCATGAATAGTGCACATTGATGATGATGTTCAAACTAATCCCTCTTCCTCGAGTGACCCGTGAATTGTAAGATGGGAAGGTGCTTCCGGTGAAGCGTTTGCAGGTAAGGCCATAAGGTAAACCATACTGTGTTACACAGGATCTAGTTTACTGAAAATGTACAGCGCGCAACAACCAAATCGGCTACCGTTCTTCGTTCTACAGGGAAAAAATGCGTCTGGATGAGCCTGGCCCGCGTCTGTCAGAATCCTGAGTTATGCAAAAGCGGCTTACATGATCTATCATTCGCCTTGCACCATGAAGGCGACAGGTGGGGAGACGAAGAAAATTCGTCCAAAGTCAGGGCACACACTATCGTGCGGCAACACCTTCCCTCGTCATGGGTTGAAGGTGTATTGAACAGCGTTCCTTCTAAAGCAAGTTCAAGGGTTCTCACTATCGTGCGACAACACCTTCCCTCGTCAGGGGTTGAAAGTGTATTGAACAGCGTTCCTCTTAAAGCAAGTTCAGGGGTTCTTTTAGGCGCACACTACGGCACTATTTTGGTGAGCAGTGATCCTGTTCGATGCACTTAACATACACTTCCTTTTAATGTGAAGGGTAGCCCATCAAGCAACTTACAGCCAATTGTCCATTAAGTGGGCAAACCTCGCACCCGTTTTACACCTTAGCATTATATGATTGCGAACATTCAAATTGCCGTCAATGTCAATCATTTTGAGGAAGCCAGTCCTTCCAACTAGGCAAATAAACTCTTTAAAGTCACAGATTTTCGCCTCTTCTTATTTGACCTTGAGTCAACAGCGTTTTATTCTCCAAAACTGTATTGCAATCATTGTTTTCACTTATACGCGCTACTTCCATGCAACACTTGTTGCTGTCCCAAATTGTCGGCCCATGCTTCATTGAACGACGGCATGAGAACACGATTACTCCTGAGCTACCTGTGAAGCCGTACAGGGTTCTTGAAATCGTGGGGTCAAACAACAATATGTAACCAGAGGTGAGGCTAACACCGTCAAATTATCAAATACGGTAAGCGAATACCTGTACACAAATGCTATTTGGAATTGATGGGACAAGCAACACCATACGAAGCGGCAACTTTTGAGACCGTTTAGTACTCGTGAATAGCTGCTGTCGATGATGGAATCCTCTGGGGCCCACCTACAGCTATGAGATAGTTGCAAGAACTTATATTGACTATTTAGCCACTCAGAAGCTAGCAGCAGACCAGAAATTTCCGATGAGCGCAGGCTTCTGGTATTAGGAATTTTGTGCCATGGTGTATCCGGGTTATATTTCGCACCTCGTTGTGTGCTTCTGTTAAGGTTGCTTTGAAGGCAGGCAACGATTTATGTGCACAGAAACGGTTTGAAGCCACAACAATGCAAATACGTAGAGAATTCGGTTGATCACCTGGGAGCTACAACGAAAGGTTTAACAGGCACCGCGCATGATCCGGAACGAATATTCTACTGATTCACCCCCCTCGAAGCCTAAAATGCAGCCTGCGATTGCATAATGAAATAAAAGTCCAGTCGAGAACATGGTACAACTATTAGGAACACACTTCTGGATGACAAGAATCAACACCTGGGCTTATTCTTGGCCTACTGGGACATATCCGTTGGACCGCGTTTGACTGCCGCTACTAATGCCAGTTTTCTATGCTCGACATCACATTGTTTTCTGAAACTACTTCGGATCTCTGTTCCAGAGCAAGTGTGCCCTTTTCACGTAAAGTGAGTTGAGTTTTCCAAGTTATATTCGTCGTCGAAAGCGCGTTTCATCGGCCAACGATCTCGCAATGTTTTGCGATCTCCAGATGAATCCAACCAACTCTCGGCCCACTCGGAAATGACGAAGAGAAGTGGACCAGACTCTGGCGTTCTCTTGAAGTAAGAATTACTTCCCGAAACTATCGGATTTTCAAAATTGCAGATTTTGTGGGCATTACATTTGATCAGGTTGCACGTTTCAGCGGTATGTTCCTCCCAATTTTATGCTTATGTGGACGAGTATTTATGATCGCTGTCCA